TATACTCTTACCTAGAAACTAAACGAACTTAAACATCATAAATATCAATTAGGGAAATATTTAAACAATATGCATGTATTGTATTTCTCTTCTGTCGGTCAACTGCCAGGTACCCTTACCCCTGCGGGATTATGTTACCTGTTTCAAGGAAGTGACGGTGTCGCGCGTAGACTGGGGGGCGTTTTGTTCAAGCTGCAGTGTCCTTGCAGTTAGAGCTGTTGAATTGACCCAGATAGCAGTCATGAATAGCGAATTGAATAACATCCTGAATATGCCTCATTGTGTACATTAACAGTTTGGTGAAAGTTTCATTAAACTATGGAGTCAAGGAAGGGAACATTATCGCGTTTCGCCCTTTCAAAAGGAACAAAACGTGAAAATCAACAGTGACAATGTGACGTTTTGGCCATTTATTGCATCGTCACTTCGTCCCGTTGTCGCGCATTGGATCATAACTATTGTTTTGATTTCACTAAATGGCGAAATTGCAACACCGCGTAAATGCTCCTTTGGGGATTGAATGCATAGGGCCCTGAACATGAACTTGCGAACTTGTGTCTCTATGAGTTACTGGGCGGTGGGGTAGTCTCGTGGTTATGGCGTTCGCTCGTCATGCCGAAGACCTGGGTTCGATTCCCTACACTGACACAATGTGTGAAGCCCATATCTGGTGTTCCCACCGTGATATTGCTGGAATATTGCTAAATGCGGCGAAAACCATACTCACTCACTCTGGTGTTCCCCACCGTGATAGTGCTGGAATATTGCTATAAGCGGCATAAAACAATACTCACTCACTCTGGTGTTCCCCGCCGTGATATTGCTGGAATATTGCTAATAACGGCGTAAAACCATACTCACTCACTCACTCACTCTGGTGTTCCCCGCAGTGATATTGCTGGAATATTGCTAAAAGCGGCGTAAAACTAATTCACTCACTCCATGAGTTACTGTATTTTCGTATGTTGATGATCAGTACCTCTCGGTGGAGTACTTTACACTTAAACAAGGTGGACAATTCCAGAGTCACTGAATTTGATAGTCGGTAACTTTCTGAATTTCGGTGCGGTTGGGTAGCCTAGTGGTTGAAGTGTTCGCTCGTCACGCCGAAGACCCGGGTTCGATTCCCCATACGGGTACAATGTGTGAAGCCCATCTTTAATGTCCCCAGTTTTGATATTGCTGGAGGGGCGGTGGGGTAGCCTAGTGGTTAAAGCGTTGGATCGTCACGCCGAAGACCCGGGTTCGAATCCCCACATGGGTACAATGTGTGGAGCCCATTTCTGGTCTTGCCCGCCGTGATATTGCTGGAATATTGCTAAAAGCGGCGTAAAACCAAACTCACTCACCCACTCACTCTGATGTTCCCCGCCGTGATCTTGCTGGAATATTGCTAAAAGCGGCGTAAAACTAAACTCAGTCAGTCAGTCAGTGAATGTTGTTAAAGCGGCATAAAACCATATTCACTCCCTCACTCACTGGATTGCATGACGTGGTTTCATGTGTCACGATATCAACATCTCGGGCTTCTGGTCAAGTCTCAGTAAGTCACAGATAGTCTGATATTGTTGGAGTGCTTCTTACTGCCGCGTAATGAAAGGTCATGGTGAACAAATTCTTGGATTTACTGATTATATTCAGCCAGGAAGTATTTCTTACATCTGTCTGACAAAGACGTGATTTAAACTCACATGTGTGCTTTCAGTTTCCGTGCTGTCCCATTTACATTTTGTAGGCCTTCATCATCCATCGACGACAACGTTCTTGTTTATGAAACCATGGTCACGGAAACATGTTAAATTGGAATATTGACAAAATACATTATCATATTTCTGCGCACGTTTTCAATGCAGGAGGTTTGCCATACCATCTGGAATGGAGAGACACACAGTAAACTACATACAGAGACAACCCAGCAAACTTATATACAGTGACAACCCAGTACACCTACATACAGAGACAACCCAGTACACCCATATACAGAGACAACCCAGTACACCTACATACAGAGACAACCCAGTACACCTGTATACAGAGACAAACCAGTACACCTACATACAGAGACAACACAGTACACCTACATACAGTCCACCTACATGCAGAGACAACCCAGTACAGCTGCATACAGAGACAACCCAGTACACCTACACACAGAGACAACCCAGTACACCTACATAGAGTACACTTGCATACAGTGACAACCCAGTACACCTTTATACAGACACAACCCAGTACACCTACATGCAGAGACAACTCAACACACCTACATACAGTGACAACCAAGTACACGTACATACAGAGACAACCCAGTACGCCTACATACAGTACAACAGTACACTTACATGCAGTGACAACCTAGTACACCTACATACAGAGACAACCCAGTACACCTACATACAATGACAAACCAGTACACCTACATACAGTGAAAACCCTAGTACACCTACATACAGTGACAACCCTGTACACCTACATACAGTGACAACCCAGTACACCTACATGTTGTGACAACCCAGTACACCTACATACAGAGACAACTCAGTACACCTACATGCAGTGACAACCCAGTACACCTACATACAGTGACAACCTAGTACACCTACATGCAGTGACAACCCAGTACACCTACATACAGCGACAACCCAGTACACCTACATGCAGTGGCAACCCAGTACACCTACATACAGAGACAACCCAGTACATCTACATGCGGTGACAACCCAGTACACCTACATAGAGTGACAACCCAGTACACCTACATACAGAGACAACCCAGTACACCTACATGCAGTGACAACCCAGTACACCTACATGCAGTGACAACCCTGTACACCTACATACAGTGACAACCCAGTACACCTACATACAGTGGCAACCCAGTACACCTACATACAGGTAGAACCCAGTACACCTGTAAACATGATTTAGTTCCGAGTAGTAAATGTTCCGGTTCGGAATAAATGCCGTGAAATTGAGAATGGATGACACGAATAAAAATTCCGCACATACGGCAAATATTCCATCGAACAGGAACAAATACCGTAGGCCTAACCTATTCCAGTCATTATTGAATGCAAAATGGACTCATCCAACTTGTCAACATCCGGGATGTCTACTAACTTCAACTTGGTTACATGTTGACTGTAACCTGGCTACTAACTGTAACTTGGTTACATGCTGACTGTAACCTGGCTACTGACTGTAACTTGGTTACATGTCGACTGTAACCTGGCTACTGACTGTAACTTGGTTACATGTCGACTGTAACCTGGCTACTGACTAACTGTAACTTGGTTACATGTTGACTGTAATCTGGCTACTGACTAACTGTAACTAGGTTACATGTTCACTAACCTGGCTACTGACTGACTGTAACTTGGTTACATAGTGACTGTAACCTGGCTACCGACTAACTGTAACTTGGTTACATGTTGACTGTAATCCGGGTACTGACTGACTGTTAATTGTTACATGTTGACTGTAACCTGGCTACTGACTGACTGTTAATTGGTTACATGTTGACTGTAACCTGGCTACTGACTGACTGTTAATTGGTTACATGTTGACTGTAACCTGGCTACTGACTAACTTGGTAACATGTTGACTGTAACCTGGCTACTGACTTTAACTTGGTTACATGTTGACTGTAACCTGGCTACTGACTAATTCTAACTTGGTTACATATTGAATGTAACCTGGCTACTGACCAACTGTAACTTTGTCACAAAATGACTGTAACCTGGCTACTGACTGACTGTAACTTGGTTACATGTTGACTGTAACCTGGCTACTGACTGTAACCTGATTAATGAAGGTAACTTGGTTACATAATAACTGAACTCTTTTAACACAAGATTCATTTAGAATCATCAGTTCGCATTGTGGGGAATCTACAATGTATTTTCATTAAAAAATTAAGTAACTTTCACACATGATCATTGCTTCTTGATAGCCACATGATGTATTCCATATGGAACAAATACCGTAGGAAAATCTTTTTTTCCTTTCCGTTCCCCCACGCCCCAATGTTTAAGACCACACCAACAAACAAAACCCTCTTTTAGACACTTTATGATGTGTGTGGAAGTTCCTTTTTAACCGGAATAAATTTTTGTGTGTGCGGAACGAAATAATTGTTCCGCATGCACTATTACAGGAACAAATGTTGGAATGAAAGGTTCCGCCGGAACTTTTACTATGGGGAACCTACATGCAGAGACAACTCAACACACCTACATACAGTGACAACCCAGTACACCTATATACAGAGACAACCCAGTACACCTACATACAGTGACAACCCAGTACACCTACATACAGGTAGAACCAAGTACACCTACATGCAGAGACAACTCAACACATCTACATACAGTGACAACCCAGTACACCTATATACAGTGACAACCCAGTACACCTATATACAGTGACAACCCTGTACACCTACATACAGCGACAACCCCAGTACACCTGTATACAGTGACAACTCAGTACACCTATATACAGTGACCACATAGTACACCTACATACAGAGACAACCCAGTACACCTATATACAGAGACAACCCTGTACACCTATATACAGTGACAACCCAGTACACCTACATACAGTGACAACCCAGTACACCTATATACAATGACAACCCAGTACACCTACATACAGTGACAAACCAGTACACCTACATACAGTGACAAACCAGTTCAGATACAACTTATATCTTGTATTTGAGATTGTACCTTCTCAGTAAAGTACGGATTCTTGTACTTCTGTTAGGCTGAGTCCCTTCCGGGATTCGAACCCATACCAAACAAAGGCACCGATCTAACACATTTCTGTATTCAAAGATTCAGGAAATTCGTTTAACTGAACAGAATGTGAGAAAACGCAAATGTTTGGGGAAATGTTTGACAGTTTTCAGAGATTTTCACCTTCCTGGTTAGGGGCAATAGGGAAGTGAAGAGGAAGTGTAGTTTTTTGTAATAAGCAGGGTGCTAGACGTATAACATGCTGTGATCACACAAGAAGGTTTTGGATGCTCGCCAGCCGCATTGAACATCGGAGATAGGGATGATTCTTGCTCCGAATAATCGTGTCTTCTTTATACAGTATAAACAGAATTCCATGTAGAAGGTCCACCATATTGTAAGTACATCACACAAAGACTTTCATTAGCGTAGTCAAGATTTCTGAACCTTGACTCGTCATTCCTGACTCTCAGCTATATCTTGTGAAGTTCAGATTTACACATTTCTGAAAAAACATGAACAGATCACTTGATTCCATATCCAGTGTGTGTCATCATGCTATTATCAACTTCTTGTGAAGTATACACTTGTAAACCATAACGTAGTGCTTCCCTGTTGTAAAAGCTGATAATTTATTTATTGAGTTTTCACTTTGTGCAGGTTCATTAGAGTTCAAACCTTCATACCAGGGTGTCCAGTTTTTGTGAATCTTGAAGCTTGCTTCCTTTTTAAATGAATCTGTATCGAAACGTCGCACTCACGAATAAAAAGAAGTTGTTATCCATAAAGTTTGTTCTATATTGTACTTCTTAACTTCTAAAATGCCACTCAAAGAAGTTATATTTTGTTGGTTTCTTATTTACATACTACATCATTTGAGAATATGAATGCACCACTAGATTCCACAATATGCTGCATATTCAGTGTCCGTCATTATTATGTTCTCAGCTTCCTGGGGAGTATACACTTGTACATCCCTAAGCTGCCTAAGTCCCCTTGTCTTTGTGTTTTGTTATGATTCTGATCTATTATAGTAAGTCATCAAAATATCACTTAATTGTTCTGTTCTGTTTCAGTGAACAGAATGACTGTCTAGTTGATAATGTGGACAGCATGCTTGGTAATGGCTACAGAAGGTAAGACATTGTACTGTTACTATTGTTCATCCCGTATTGTCATTGGTTAATATCCCTACTTTAGTCAGGATAATGTGGACAGCACTCTTGGTAATGGCTACAGAAGGTAAGACATTGTACTGTTACTATTGTTCATCTCGTATTGTCATTTGTTAATATCCCTACTTTAGTCAGGATAATGTGGACAACACTCTTGGTAATGGCTACAGAAGGTGAGACATTGTACTGTTACTATTGTTCATATCGTATTGTCATTGGTGAATATCCTACTTTAGTCAGGATAATGTGGACAGCTCTCTTGGTAATGGCTACAGAAGGTAAAACATTGTACTGTTACTATTGTTCATATCGTATTGTCATTGGTTAATATCCCTACTTTAGTCAGGATAATGTGGACAGCACTCTTGGTAATGGCTACAGAAGGTAAAACATTGTACTGTTACTATTGTTCATATCGTATTGTCATTGGTGAATATCCCTACTTTAGTCAGGATAATGTGGACAGCACTCTTGGTAATGGCTACAGAAGGTGAGACATTGTACTTTTACTATTGTTCATATCGTATTGTCATTGGTGAATATCCCTACTTTAGTCAGGATAATGTGGACAGCACTCTTGGTAATGGCTACAGAAGGTAAAACATTGTACTGTTACTATTGTTCATATCGTATTGTCATTGGTTAATATCCCTACTTTAGTCAGGATAATGTGGAAGAAGACAATACAAAATTATTGACACATGTGGGGAGATGAGATTAGGATTAAATTCAAAATTACTTCACTTATACAACGATGTGTCCTGACTAGCTGACCGCCTCTGTTGTGTAGTGGTTAGAGCGTCCACAAGGTCGCGGGCTCGATGCCCGACCGCGTCATACCAACAGACGTTTAATATGGTACTTGTTCGTCCCTGTCTGGCGCTCTGCATTAATGGGTACAACAAGGACTGGTCGGCTCGGAGTCAGTATAGTGTGTCTGAGTGGGGTATTCATGCTTCACTGCGGCGTGGTATCTCAGTGGGCTAGCACTGTAAAACCAGCTTAAGTCTGGGCTAGTACAAGCAGCCGCACATACACATACATAAGCATGCACGTCGTCATATGAGCGAAATATTCTCAAGCACGACGTTAAACCCAATTTCACCTCACCTCATCTGACTAGCTAAAACAAACTTTTCACCTCCTTGTTGGGGTAGGGCCATAGGTTCGAACCCAACACGCTACTCCCTATTCCATACATCGTGGAGTAACTGCAGTATGAATGTCAAATATTTTTTTGTATTTTCTATCATGCACTAGCATACAGGTATAACAATTTTGGGTCCAGACTCGATTATACCCAATTTTGGGGTGTTTTTGTCCGCGTGGCTTTTGTCCTGCTCCCAACAATTTTGTAGTGCTTCAAAACCGTACAAGTATTACTTATCTGTATTAAGATTAGAACCCTTGAAGATCCGGGTTAGAAATGGTCTTCAGCAACCCATGCTTGTTCTACCGGGACTAACGGGATCAGGTGGTCAGGCTCGCTGACTTGGTTGACACATGTCATCGTATCCCAGTTGTGTAGATCGATGTTCATACCGATCATCGCTGGAATGTCTGATCCAGACACTATGGTGTACAGAGCGCTGCAATATAGGTGTGTGCAGTGTTATACAAGAACAAGAACAAAAAAATCATAGGAACAACCACCAGTCTGTACCGCTATATGTTCAGGTATTATAGGTCTTGTAACTCATTTGCTATAGTTAAGTATCCTGTGTTTTGTTGAAGAACAAGCTCTTTATTTCCATTTAGCAAAACAATGACATAATATCTTCACAATTACTTTCAGCTGTTCCATGCCATTACACCCATCACTGTTCAGACTGTGACAGAGAGACGGGAGATTGCCTCACTGAGTGTGACACTGGGTATTACGATCCACAATGCAACTCTACCTGCAGCCGGAACTGTAGGAATAACACATGTGTGATGTCAGAACATGCTAGCGATGACTGCACTGAGGGTTGTGTGCCAGGTTATTCTGGCATTGGGTGCAACATACCATGTGACAGTCCAGGAGGTAGCTGTACAGCATGTCCAGGTGGTTGCGATGGAGGATATTGTCAGCTGGGGTCATCCTGTGTGTCTGGATGTGTAAACTCCTACTACGGACTGGCTGTAAAGCTGGTAGGTACAACTTGGTTATTCTTTTATTATGAAGACTATGATGTATACTCCCCAGGGCTTCTGAGTCCACGGAGAAATGACACTCCTACCCTTAGTGCATTGTATTCAGGAACTATACTCAAATGCAAAATTTATGACAGAAACAACAAACACAAGCAGTATTAAAGTTTCACTTTTTGTTGTTTACAATATTTTCTGCGTAATTGTAAATTAGAATTTTAAGTATCTCCAGCTGATTCTGTTCAATGTTCTCCCAGGGAACGAGTTATTTATATTCATTAACTTATTTGGTCAGGTACTACAGTGGGACTATCTGTAGGTCTATCCGGAGCTTTCTTAATCATCTTCCTGGTCCTGTGCTGCAAGTATTGTCAACGCTTAAGGCAGGACAGGTGCGTGAGTGCGCGCGTCCTCACATTGTTTATTGCAAGAACTGACACTAACGTGAATGTCGTAGTCAGTGACGATAACGTGGGGTCCTACCACGATGGCGTGAGGTGTCGTTCCTGACATCAGCTGCTCTGTAATGTACTGTCTGCATGTTGCTGTGTTGAGTCTGTCCCACCACTTGTCACTATAGCTCCTTACAATCAAACATTTTCTTCATCATAAACTGAACTGATAGTACTGTTCTAAACGTTCCCCGAGCTCTAGATTACAAAATGTTTAAAGAACGGAACAATAATATTTATGTTTATTAAATGTGAATGTCAAGGGTCATGTAATTCGAACTGATAAGTCTGTTTATAGGTTACTACTCTTATCACTAAATAATACCCATAATATAATACTACAATACCTAGAAACCAATGTTTGACTATTCTCATGTTTATGTAGATTTGGATGCTAATGACATGTGTTTTATATTATTCTTACTTCACTAGGGGCGGTGGGGTAGCCTAATGGTTAAAGCGTTCGCTCGTCATGCCGAAGACCCGGGCTCAATTCCCCACATGGGTACAATGTGTGACGCCCATTTATGGTGTACCCTGCAGTGATATTGCTGGGATATTGCAAAAGGTCGGTGTAAAACCATACTCACTCACTCACTCTTACTTCACAGTGTCATCAACAAAACAGAGATGTGCAACAACGTTGCCGAGATGAGTGGTGCCACTGTACAGGAGCTGGAATGGTATACTGAGATTCCACTGACAGACATGACCCTGGCTTCTGGGTCAAGGTCACTTGGTGGGAGCTGCGGGGCTGGAGGTGAAGCTGCTGCTGTAGCGGGTGACGTTTATGATGTTGCAGATGGAGGACAACGGGGACTTCCTGCTGTTGCTGACAACTTCTACTCCATGCATAGAAACAAATCTTTTTTGAAAAGGTATTGATATGAGTAATGACGATGTTAATTATGTAACTCTTCGTTTGATCTACTGCCCCGTGAAATGGAATCCGCGTCCACACAGAGTAGGAAAAATCGGCGTTTTTATGCTCATGGTCAGTGTATCAATGACCTGTTGATTATATAAGCTGATATCCCTGCTAAACAATGATGACTTAGTAGGCTTGCAGCATTCACTGGTGGTTCTGGGAAAGGTCTTTCGATGCATAATTACAATGGGAAACGCCCTTCAGGAAAATGATTTGAAATGAAACTTCAGAAGAATTAAAGTAGAAAAGCTCTGCCCTGATTTTACTCATATCTCAAACCGTTTAAAGAAAGTTAAATATAGGTATGTACATACCTGTTGTCTGGAAGAATCCGGGCTCTCGAGTATGGAGCTTAGTAACCTTGTCAGTGATGTTTATATACTCACAACCAATGATCAGTTTAGTACATCTTTATGTCAGGACAAACTACACGCTGTGGGTTAAGTGATAGTAAGTTATCCTATTATTTGTTTTACATTTTACCCCTCTTAACTTCATCAAACATCGCTTACAGGACAATGTGGTATGATGTGTGTAAATATCGTTCTAAAACCTAACTTATGTACGCAAGGTCCAACTAGTTAACTGACGTTTGCGAACTGCATGAAAAGTGAAATTGTTTAAGAAGTTTAAATGTATTTTAATTAAAGTTTGTCGTCTTGTATACGTCACGTGTTGAAGACAAATATGTCAGGAATATTTCTGACTGCCGCTATGTAACTTCAAGCTTCCACTGTATGTAAATGTTTCTCAATCAATCGTTCACTGGAAACATATTTTTTGTATTGAATTGTCACGTTACTATTACTCACTTTAGTTGACATGTCATTACTAATTGCGTAGATCGATGCTCATGCTGTTGATCACTGGATTGTCTGGTCCAGACTCGATTATTTACAGACCGCCGCCATATAGCTGGACTACTCCTGCGCACCGTTACCTCTTGCGCAACATGGTGTTACACGGAAATATTAGTGTACGATATAAATAATTAATGTGTTATCAATTTCCTTGTGTTTGTATTTTTTGACCGTGGAAACTTGGCAATGTTTCCCTGTATGTAGATGGCGAATTAAAGTTAGTTTAATGCTAAGTGTTGACAGAGTCCAGCGAAACCCAAACAGGGTAGTTAGCAGGCATTTACACGCCTCTCGATACAATATTACAATTTATCAATCACACTGCTCATGGGTCAGTCCAACTCTTCTTGCAGTGCCTGGCCAAGTTCAGCCAACCTGTCGGCGCCCTGTGACGTTGACCTTGACATCTCCCTGTCATTCCCAATGTTCAATGGGGAGATGTCTTAACTGTTTGATGGCTATAACATTCCGTGTTGTGATGCCGAAGGTGAAAATTGATAATTTGTGCACGGCGAGCGCTCCGTTCCTTGTCAGACTTGCCTGTCAAGTAAGTCCAGTCTTAATATAGACTCATCTGAAAACGTAACAAGTGATCAGTTGAGATGTGTACATCCTGGACGACTGCTGACAAAATGATATAGATGCAGCACATTTCGAGCAAGTAGATGCACTATTTCTATGACCCGTAACTTGTACACCAATAGTCTAAGTTTGCTGGAGCTGAAATCATTTTCGTAGAGCCTGGATTCTGAACAACGGATTCTGTACTCTTGTCGATCTGGACGTCTCGAACGAATCGATCGTCAACAGTTTGGTTGTGCTGGAACATGTTCTATAGTCTGCTAGCCACAGACTGTGAAACTGTGACTTTTTCCAGTTCCCAGCATGCCAATCGAGGACGCGGCAATCTCTTGTTTATATTAAAAAAATGAATGAACTCACAGCTGAATAATGAATTCAATCATTACGACTGACACAAATAATGTTCCTTGAAAGTATCAATACCACATACACTGACACAGGCAAAGACACAGAGACAGACACAGACACTGGCACAGACACAGAAAGACACAGACACAGACACAGACAGACACAGACACAGAGGCAGACACACAGACAGACACAGACACACACAGACACAGACACAGACAGACACATACACAGACACAGACAGACACAGGCACAGACACAGACAGACACACACAGACACAGACACACAGACACAGACAGACACAGACAGACACACATGCACAGACACACACACACAGACACAGACACACAGACACAGGCACAGACACAAACACAGACACAGACACACACAGACAGACAGACACACACACACACAGACAGACACAGACACAGACACAGACAGACACAGACACAGACACAGACACAGACACAGACACAGACACAGACACAGACAGACACAGACACAGACAGACACAGACACACAGACACAGACACAGACACAGACACAGACACACAGCACAGACACAGACAGACACAGACACAGGCACAGACACAGACAGACAGACACACACAGACAGACACAGACACAGGCACACAGACACACACAGACAGACACAGGCACAGAAACAAACAAGGCACAGACACACAGAAACAGACATAGACAGAACACACAGGCACACACACAGGACAGAGGCAGAGACACACAGGCACAAATACAGGTACAGACACAGATATAGAGAACAAGCACAGGCACAGGCACAGACACACACATTCACGGACACAGACACACCACACCTTCAAGACACAGACACACACACAGACAAACACAGAGGAACAGACACAGACGCACGCAGAGACAGAGACACAGGCATAAATACAGGCAAAGAGACAGACAGACATACAGACAGTTACAGGTACGAACACCGGCACATTCAGAAACAGGCACATACAAACACACTCATAGACACAGGCACAGCCAGAAACTCAAACACAAACACAGGCACAGGCACACATACAAAGGCATAATACATTTACAGATAAAGACAGAAACAGGCACAGACAATCACAAAACACAGACAAACGCATGTACTCACACACAGGCACAGGCGAAGACTCAAACACAGTCAAAATAAACAACAGAGACACAGTCACAAACTGGGGCACAGGCACAGGCATAAATACAGGCACGGACAGAGATACAGGTAAAGCCAAAGCACAAATACACGGTACAGACACAAAGCACAGGTACAGACAGAAATACCGACACAAACACAGACACAGTCACAAACACAGGCACAGACACAAACACAGTCATAAACACAGACAAAAAGAAAGACACAGGCAGAAAAACAGACAAAGGCATACACACAAACACAAGCACAGACACAGACAAAGCACAGGCACAGACACAGGCACAGGAACAGAAACAGACACAGATATAGGAACAAACACAGGCACAGACACAGACACATTCACGGACACAGACACACCCGCGGGCAAAGGCACTGACACAGACAAAGGGCACAGGCACGGGCACAGACGCAGGCGCAGACACAGACAAAGACAGCATAAATATAGGCAGAGAGACAGACAGACACAGGCACAGACAAAAACACTCACAGACACAGGCACATGCAGAAACTCAAACACAGGCACAGGCACAGAGAGAGACATGAAGGCATAATGCATCACACAGGCACAAACACAGACAGACACATAAACTCAGACACAGGCACAGGCAAAGTCAACAGCACAGACACCCAAGTGATTGACATCATGAGCATCGATCTACAGAATCGGGACACGATGACCTGCACAAACCATGTGAGGAAACCTGTCCTCCCCTACGATTACACTTAAGCCAGCCATGGGTTACTGAGGTCTCGTTGTAGCGATTGCATGCCCTGTCCTCACCCTACGATTACACTTTAAGCCAGGCATGGGTTACTGAGGTCTCGTTGTAGCGAATGCATGCGCTGTCCTCAACCTACGATTACACTTAAGCCAGCCATGGGTTACTGAGAGGTCTCGTTGTAGCGATTGCATGCCCTGTCCTCCCCTACCATTACACTTTAAGCCAGGCATGGGTTACTGAGGTATCGTTGTAGCGAATGCATGCAATGACTTTATACTGTAGAGTTAAGCTCAGAATTATTCAGCCACCCTTCATATCAGTAAAAGATTGTCAGATAATGGTGCAAATATATTGATGCTCGTTGATGAGTTTTACTGGTGTGAATGTTAAAGTGTGTCGACTCACACAATACTATCAAAGATTTTTTTCTGCAGAGGAGATGTCCCGAGCCTTGAATGCTGATGAACGCCCATCGCTCCAATGTTCCAAGTGTAACGGGAAATGTAATTCGGGGAGCACGCTTATAAAAACTGTCCTGTTTACTGCATTGTGTTACCGCAGTCATTGTGGCCGGCCATGGCTATATTTAGTACAAAGAAGAATTTCACGATAGCGTGTTAGATGTCTGTGTGTCGAACAGGTGGACTTAAATCACGTTCACAGGTACACCCTGACGGCGTCTCCATCTGCTCTGAGAAGGTATTTGATTTGACTTTAATATGTCGTCATCGTAAATGGTTCATTAGTAATACTTATTACAATTCGTCATTAGGTTTGTTTTATTTCTTGTCAAACTAAGGCACCATGTGGATTTCATGTAGATACAATTGTCTATATACACCTACCTGCCTTTATATGTTAAGCAAGTATTAATGTACATCTGGGTGTTATGAGAGGGTATACAGTCTGTTCTGTGTTACTATCTATTAAACATAATATTAACGTACATCTGGGTGTTATGAGGGAGGGTATACAGCCTGTTCTGTGTTGCTATCTATTACACATAGTATTAACGTACATCTGGATGTTATGAGAGGGGTATACAGCCTGTTCTGTGTTGGTATCTATTACACATAGTATTAACGTACATCTGGGTGTTGTTATGAGAAGGTATACAGTCTGTTCTGTGTAGCTATCTCATGGACATAGTATTAACGTACATCTTGAAGTTATGAGAGGGTATACAGCCCGTTCTAGTGTTGCTATCTATTACACATAATATTAACGTACATCTGGGTGTTATGAGAGGGTATACAGCCTGTTCTGTGTTGCTATCTATTACACATAGTATTAACGTACATCTGGGTGTTATGAGAGGGTATACAGTCTGTTCTGTGTTGCTATCTATTGAACATAGTATTAACGTACATCTGGATGTTATGAGGAGGGTATACAGCCTGTTCTGTGTTGCTATCTATTAAACATAATATTAACGTACATCTGGGTGTTATGAGGAGGGTATACAGTCTGTTCTGTGTTGTTATCTATTAAACATAGTATTAACGTACATCTGGGTGTTATGAGGAGGGTATACAGCCTGTTCTGTGTTGCTATCTATTGTACATTATATCAACATGCATCTGGGTGTTATGAGAGGGTATACAGTCTGTTCTGTGTTGTTATCTATTAAACATAGTATTAACGTACATCTGGGTGTTATGAGGGAATTATACAGCCTGTTCTGTGTTGCTATCTATTGTACATTATATCAACATGCATCTGGGTGTTATGAGAGGGTATACAGTCTGTTCTGTGTTGTTATCTATTAAACATAGTATTAACGTACATCTGGGTGTTATGAGAGGGTATACAGCCTGTTCTGTGTTGCTATCTATTGTACATTATATCAACATGCATCTGGGTGTTATGAGGAGGGTATACAGTCTGTTCTGTGTTGTTATCTATTAAACATAGTATTAACGTACATCTGGGTGTTATGAGGAGGGTATACAGTCTGTTCTGTGTTGCTATCTATTAAACATAGTATTAACGTACATCTGGGTGTTATGAGGAGGGTATACAGTCTGTTCTGTGTTGTTATCTATTAAACATAGCATTAACGTACATCTGGTTGTTATAAGAGGGTATACAGTCTGTTCTGTGTTGCTATCTATTACACATAGTATTAACGTACATCTGGGTGTAATGAGAGGGTATACAGTCTGTTCTATTGTTGCTATCTATATGGCATGTTCTACTGCCCAGATTGCATGTAATGTCAGTGAGCTCCAGTTGGAGACTGCGCAGCGTTGATCGTGTAACATAACAGCTATTTCAAACGCTCATAATGGCGTCCTGAATGCTCAGTTATTCATACAGTGACTGAGCACCATGTAACTCGGATTACAAAACACAGGTCATGTGACAATCTCTCCTGGATACACGTTATGCATGCGGGCCAGGACCCTGCAATGTTTTTTCGTCTTATGCTGGTACGTAATTTGCCTCTTTCGTTATCATCTGGTTCTGTTCACATTATTCACATATTATAACATACTGATTATGCAACAATACGTCAGATATCAAGATGTACACCCAACGTCTTGTTCAGGTTCGCCATGAACCCAGTATATCAGATAGATGTCTATCGGTCTGGTTTTAGATTGACGATGGGGTCATGGGCATGTCGATATGACCTTTGGATAATCACGAGGCCCTGTCTCATAGTCATGACATACGTTCATGAAAGTTTCTATAAAACAGTGGCTAAGTTGGTCTTCGCGAACAAAATCTCTAACTAATACTATTTCTCAAGAAGCAAAAAACAAAAAGTGCAGTAAATGTGAAATACGGTCATAGATAAAGTGTGAATGCACAATGCACATTTAGAATATGGCAAAGTGTATACATGTATTTGGGATAACAATTCCTCAGTAAAGTACAGATTCTCTACATTCTGGGGTTGAGTCCCATCCGTGAGTCTAACATCATTCTAATGGCATGAAACATTGTGTGGGTTTGAAACATGAATTGTTAGCCAGCACTTTGTTGCTCTCACTGTTGAGATTTGTTGTTCTCACTGTTGAGATTTGTTGTTCTCACTGTTGAGATTTGTTGCTCTCACTGTTGAGATTTGTTGCTCTCACTGTTGAGATTTGTTGCTCTCACTGTTGAGATTTGTTGTTTCTCGCTGTTGAGATTTGTTGTTCTCGCTGTTGAGATCTGTTGTTCTCACTGTTGAGATCTCTTCCTCTTACTGTTGCGATCTGTTGCTCTCACTGTTGAGATTTGTTGCTCTCACTGTTGAGATTTGTTGTTCTCACTGTTGAGATTTGTTGCTCTCACTGTTGAGATTTGTTGTTCTCACTGTTGAGATCTGTTGCTCTCACTGTTGAGATTTGTTGCTCTCACTGTTGAGATTTGTTGTTCTCACTGTTGAGATCTGTTGCTCTCACTGTTGAGATTTGTTGCTCTCACTGTTGAGATCTGTTGTTCTCACTGTTGAGATTTGTTGTTCTCACTGTTGAGATCTGTTGAGATCTGTTGTTCTCACTGTTGAGATCTCTTGTTCTCACTGTTGAGATTTTGTTGCTCTCACTGTTGAGATCTGTTGTTCTCACTGTTGAGATCTGTTGCTCTCACTGTTGAGATCTCTTCCTCTTACTGTTGCGATCTGTTGCTCTCACTGTTGAGATTTGTTGCTCTCACTGTTGAGATTTGTTGTTCTCACTGTTGAGATGTGTTGCTCTCACTGTTGAGATTTGTTGTTCTCACTGTTGAGATCTGTTGCTCTCACTGTTGAGATTTGTTGCTCTCACTGTTGAGATTTGTTGTTCTCACTGTTGAGATCTGTTGCTCTCACTGTTGAGATTTGTTGCTCTCACTGTTGAGATCTGTTGTTCTCACTGTTGAGATTTGTTGTTCTCACTGTTGAGATCTGTTGTTCTCACCGTTGGGATCTGTTGTTCTCACTGTTGAGATCTGTTGTTCTCACTGTTGAGATTTGTTGCTCTCACTGTTGAGATCTGCTGTTCTCACTGTTGAGATTTGTTGTTCTCACTGTTGAGATCTGTTGCTCTCACTGTTGAGATTTGTTGCTCTCGCTGTTGAGGATTTGTTGTTCTCACTGTTGGATTTGTTGTTCTCACTGTTGGGATCTGTTGTTCTCACTGTTGGGATCTGTTGCTCCTCACTGTTGAGATTTGTTGCTCTCGCTGTTGGGATTTGTTGCTCTCACTGTTGAAGATTTGTTGTTCTCACTGTTGGGATTTGTTGCTCTCACTGTTGGGATTTGTTGTTCTCACTGTTGGGATTTGTTGCTCTCACTGTTGGGATTTGTTGTTCTCACTGTTGGGATTTGTTGCTCTCACTGTTGGGATTTGTTGTTCTCACTGTTGGGATTTGTTGCTCTCACTGTTGAGATTTGTTCTCACTGTTGAGATGTGTTGCTCTCACTGTTGGATCTGTTGTTCTCACTGTTGAGATTTGTTGTTCTCACTGTTGGATTTGTTGTTGCTCTCACTGTTGAGATTTGTTGTTCTCACTGTTGAGGATTTGTTGCTCTCACTGTTGAGATTTGTTCTCACTGTTGAGGATGTGTTCCTCTCACTGTTGAGGATCTGTTGCTCTCACTGTTTGAGATTTGTTGTTCTCGCTGTTGAGATTTGTTGCTCATTTCTTGACGCAGGAAACAGGTGTTCGTACACAGTGATGCTGAAAACTCTTACAAAATGAACCACACTCTTATTATTGTATTAAAACTACACGTAATTCATCGTATGTGAGTACACAGTGATGCTGAAAACTCTACAAAGATAGACCACACTCTTATTATTGTATTAAAACTACACGTAATTCATCGTATGTGAGTACACAGTGATGCTGAAAACTCTACAAAATGAACCACACTCTTACTATTGTATTAAAACTACACGTAATTCATCGTATGTGAGTACACAGTGATGCTGAAAACTCTACAAACTGAACCACACTCTTATTATTGTATTAAAACTACACGTAATTCATCGTATGTGAGTACACAGTGATGCTGAAAACTCTACAAAATAGAACCACACTCTTATTATTGTATTAAAACTACACGTAATTCATCATATGTGAGTACACAGTGATGCTGAAAACTCTACAAAATGAACCACACTCTTATTATTGTATTAAAACTACACGTAATTCATCGTATGTGAGTACACAGTGATGCTGAAAACTCTACAAACTGAACCACACTCTTATTATTGTATTAAAACTACACGTAATTCATCATATGTGAGTACACAGTGATGCTGGAAACTCTACAAAATAAACCACACTCTTATTATTGTATTAAAACTACACGTAATTCATCATATGTGAGTACACAGTGATGCTGAAAACTCTACAAAATGAACCACACTCTTATTATTGTATTAAAACTACACGTAATTCATCGTATGTGAGTACACAGTGATGCTGAAAACTCTACAAAATGAACCACACTCTTATTATTGTATTAAAACTACACGTAATTCATAATATGTGAGTACACAGTGATGCAAGAAAACTCTACAAAATGAACCACACTCTTATTATTGTATTAAAACAACACGTAATTCATCGTATGTGAGTACACAGTGATGCTGAAAACTCTACAAACTGAACCACACTCTTATTATTGTATTAAAACTACGTAATTCATCGTATGTGAGTACACAGTGATGCTGAAAACTCTACAAAATGAACCACACTCTTATTATTGTATTAAAACT